TTTCATTCAAAAATTACAAAAAAAAATTTTTTTTTTTAGAAATTTCAGATGGTATAAGGAAGCACCTGGCGGGGATACAAACAAAAGAAAAATAACAACAAAATAATAAAATAAAAAATGCAATATAAGGACAACAATCAATTTATATATGAAAAAAAAAATGTAAATGTAAATGCATTTGGTAATTTAATTACAGATGGAGGAGAAAATAACAAAAAAAAAAAAATATATAAAAGAGGCATTTTTTTTCGAAAATAACAAGAAAAATTTCATGCATTCATTTAATTTTACAAGCAATTTTCTTAAAGCAAATGTTTTTTTCCTTTGGTTATCCCATAATAATTTTTTATACTTAAGAATAAAGAGAAAAGGTCTCTTATAATGGAACACTATAAATATAAGTATATTATTTCTCTAAAAATTAAAACTAGTCATATTATAGATAATAAATAGTACTCGTAATTTAAAACTTAAAGTGAAAAAAAAAAATGTGCATCATGTTGAATGGTAATAAACAACGGCATTTTAAATGTTGTTGAAAAAAAAAACACAAAATGAAAATAAAATATAAAAAGGACACATGCCAACTTGTGGTTCAAGATGTTTTCAGTTTATCTATTTCTTTTTGTTTTTCTTGTTTAACAACAAAACTGCATTTATATATGATTAATAAAAAATTTATACGGAGAAATTATAAAAAATTATTTGATGCAGTCAAGCAATCAATAGCATCACCTACAATATTATGCTTGTTTACAAAATTTTCCAAGAATTTATTCTATATACATTTTTATATTTGAACTATACACAAAATTCTTATACATTTTTTAAAAATATACAAGAAGATGTTATTATATGTGTTATACACATAGTTATATCATGCGTAAAATATTTTTTTTTTCTGAAAACAGTTGAATTCAATTGTCAAACTGTTGAAATTTTTCTCTTTTTTAAATAGTTATTTTATATAAATGGTGTAACCCTAATTTATTAAAATTATTATATAACAATATATATATTGCAACTGTTGCATATTACTATCATATTACATGCAATGTAATTTTCATACATATAATGTACATAGATGCAATATGTAATACAATATAGATATAGCAATGCACATTATTCATTTAAATTTTATTAAAACAAAATATGGACAAAGTAACAAAGTAATGTTTGATATAAAAGTGTAATACAGTATATTTATGTTATAAGCTTTATTGCATAAAACAAAGAATCATTTATATATTTTTTTAGTATTAAATTAAAAAAAAATATAAAAAAAACAAAAAATAAAAATAAGTGTCACAACACAATGCAAATATGCGTGCTAATTTTTTTTTTTTATTCAAATGAATATTAAATAATACTTGTTATATGTTTATCATAAGTATATCATCATATACATATACGCTAATACAATATGTTTGTATCTATATATGTGTATGAAATACAAGTTCAAAAAGTTAACATAATTATATTAAATTCTCTTGAAACAAACATTATGTAAATGCAAAATACAAAATACAAAAAAAAAAATATTTACACGTAATTATGTTAAATTTTATATTTTATACGGAAAATATGAGTACCATTGTAGGTATATGCATGCATGTGTATTACTGAAAAAAAGGGAAAAGGTGGGTAAAAGAGAATTAATTAAACAAAAGCAAAAAAAAAGTGTTAAATATCATTTTATATTATGTAGATATTTTAAATGAATATTTAAAAAAATCACTTGAGTATTAAGAAATGAGGCAACACTTTTGGGACTTATTTTGTTTTCGTTTTCTCTCTTTTTTGTGTTTTGATAGTGAATTTTTCTATACAAAGTTTTGAAATTATATATAGGTATGCAGTTTACATATTATACCGTTGGAGAAAAAAACAAAAAAAAAAAAAAGTAACCATTTAATAAATTATGCTCTTGAGTTTTGAGTTTTTAAATGAAAAATTAAAGGTTTTCTAAATAAGTAAATAAGTTTTTAGTAATACATATTAAAAAAGATTAAAATAATTAACGAAATTAAATTTCTATTATTTATTTAAATATATATTATGTATATCGTAAATATATATACATATAATGCTATATGAACAGTTAAAATTATGAGGTAAGTATAGAAATATCTCTTTAATTTATATAATAACTCTTTAAAGAATTAAATTTCTCTTTATTTTTAATTTCTCTTTCAATCTTTTCTAATTTCTATGATAATTATTAAGAAAATTTGATTGACATTAAAAATTGTAAGAAATTAATGACATAATTTTACGGTAATGTTAAAAAATTTTATATTTTGTGATTTATTAATTTTGTACTAAAGTATAATTGTTCTCGATGTTTATAGTATACTACATTTTAATTTCAGCACTAGAAGAATTATTAATAACAAAAGCAGGGTTGTAAATTTTAAAATTTAACAGTAATAGGCTTATAATAATGGTATAAAATGTTTGATTTACTACATACATATACCCAGTGTTGGTGTCAATTGTTTGAAAGTGTTCTATCTCAATACCTTTAAAAGTGAGAATAAAACTCAATTTTGTGAGTCAACTAGAATTTCGCTGTCTATTTTTCGGCATAATTTATTTGAAATATAAAATATTTGAATCTTTGCTTTGATACTACAATAATGTACTATAAAAATTATTTAGACAACATTCATACAATTTCAATTTGAAAATTAAATGCATATATACGTAAAATGTTTATTTAAATAATCTTATAACTTATATGTTTATTTAACATTTAAAAAGAAAAGAATTACAAAGGAAATTTTTTTTTGAAGATAATTGAACACAAAAAACACAAATTAGCTTTTGTTTAAAAGAAAAAAACAATTCATAAGGTAATTGAAATATTAGAATTCCTCTATACAATTATAATTGAAATTTTTAATGTTTAGATGTTCTATAAATGGAACGACCTTAATTTATAAGACATGCTTCTTATATCTACCAAACACTCTATACAATGAAAAGTTATATTAACTTTAGCTGTTAAACAGTTACATGAAGGAGAATCAACGATACTCGTAATAATTATACATAGCTGCACAAAATTTAATAGTCATGTGTCAAATTATAGCTCATATATATCTTAAAAGTTAAATGTGAAATACATTGAGAGCCTCAGATATAGCTGCCATACAATCCTAAAGGCTGTCATACAATTTTTCAATATTTCAAAAACTAATTGAAATAATTTCATTAAATTTACTCAGAAATGTGCAAAAAACATAGTTTCAAAAATTAAGTTGAATTGGCTGACTTTTTGGTTTTATAATAAAATTCTCCTTGTACAGGACATAATTCATTCAAATAAGGTCGCGATTGAAACATTTTTACTTCTTTGTATATTTGTTTCGGATGTTTGCATATTTAAATAAAATGTGTTTGCCAAAAAATGGATTACTCTATTTTCCCCCTCCAATTAGAATAAATTTAATATGTTTGTATATTATATACCCTATTGGTTTATAAAAAGAAAGAACGAACAATGAATAGACGCAATATACACAAACACAAAATTTTATGAAAACAAATTCGCTAATTTAATTTTGTTTATTTTTTTCCATCAAATTAAAATAATAATTTTTTTTTTGGTCATTTCAAATTTCATACATAATTTTAAAAATTGAAATTAAATAGTTTTGTAAAATTTAAAGAATTTCGAAATTATTAAAAAATACGTAAAAAAAAAGACAATTATTTTCAGAATTTTAAAGAAAACGATAAATAAAATTTTTTGTTCAAAATTTTAATAGTTCAATATTAAAGTAAGGTCTATTGAAATACTTATCGCGAAGCACGAAATTTTGACATTTTAATTGCTGTCTCTTTTCGGAATAAAATTTGGTCATTTATGTTATACTAAGGTATGTAAGCTTATTTGATAATTCAATAAAATTATTATTATTTATAATAAAAGTTTTTCAATTTTAAAATTAAAAATCAAAAAGAAGAAATTTCAAAACAACTAGGTCACTATTAATTATCTATATCAGAATTACATTTGTGTCCTTATGTAATAAGTAATTATATACAAGTGGTAAGTAATAATTTAATTTACTAATAACATACGTTCATATGAATTACGAGAAATTCATATATTTAAGTAGATAATTTTATAATTGTTTTTTATTATTACGATAACATTTGTCAGAATTCTCATAACTAAAGACTAGTTGTTCTAATTTAAAGTTTTGAAAAAAAAAAAAAAAACTTGAAAAGAAAATTGTGTATTTTTATTCTCACGATTTTAAATTTCTTTTACACGCAAATATTTAAAAAAAAAATGTTGTCTTTAAAAATAGGACTAAGTTGTACAAGTTAAGACCTACCTATACAATATTTGAACACAAATGTCAAAATTCTCATGTATTTCTTTAAAATATTTTATTACCAATTTTTCCTTTTTTAAATCAAATCATGCGTAATAATTATTGTAAAAGAGCTTAATTAAATGTTATAAAAAAAAAATAAAGATTATTTTCTTTTCTTTTATTTCTTGTTATGGGACCTAACACGATTACATACTATTATCTTTCATTATGTGAGCATAATAATAAGACATACATATATATGTATATGCATATTAATATTGGCGACGTGTCCTTTTTTCATTTACTACTTATAATATACATATATTTGTGTATTAAATTACTTTTCATCAATAAAATAACAATAAATCGAAATTTTATTATGTATATAAGAAGGGTGAATTATAACAAGAAAGTTCCATTGTTTTTTTTGTTTGTTTTGTGTAAGATAATTTGAAATTCTCATGGATCCCGTATAGAACATATAGTGTGTATTAAAAAAAATGCTTTAAAAATTTTTTTTTTGATATTTAAGGTATAAATATAATTCACACATTATAATACACACATGTATTTTATTTAATTATGAGAAAATTTTTCATGGGAATTAAAAAAATAAATTAAAATGCTCGTATTTTATATAAAAAATGATAATAAAAAATAATTACTTACATCACGAATTTCTTTGATTTTGGAACCACCTTTGCCAATGACACATCCAGCTAAACTTTGATGTATCAATACTCTGACATCAACTTCACCATCTCTCTATATAATTTTATATAAAAAAAAAGCAAAAGAAAAGAAAGAAAAAATTAAAAACACAATCATTTTTAAAAATCCTAAAAAAATTTAATATTAACAATTAAAAAAAATTACAACTAAATATATAATTTGTTAAAAATTTTAAATTAAAAAAAAAAAACAAATTCCTTATTATTTCCTTAAGATTTTTGGATTAGATTTTTGAAATCAAAATTGTATTATTGGAAGTAAATATGAAAAATGTAAATAATATTACTAGAGCATTATCTTATATTAGAATTAGAGCATTATTTTTAGAAAAGAAAAGGCTTGTAATTCATTATTATTTTAATAAATAATTATTTATATATTTTATTGCAAATACTCGTATATGCTTGCAAGTTGTAAAAAATGATTTTTTTTCAATTAATTATATGTTTCACTTTTAATTAATTCAACGATTTAGAAAACATTAGAGTGAAAAATTGAAGAAATAAAATGGTAGCTTTAAAATTCTGACTTGAAGATGACTGAAAAATAAGATAAATAATTAGCTATTCAAGATTTCGAAATAAGATTCTATTAATACCTTATTATTTTAAAATATGCAAGTATTATGTCAGCATTAGCGAATTTAAATTGATTGAAAAAGTAAAATATTATTTTTAATAATATAATTCTTAACAAAATTATTTTAATTTGTCTGACTTTGCAATCTGCGTGAACAATTTCACTCTTACTACAAAACTGGAGCATATAAATTTTAAGCATATTTTTTAATTATTACACGACAGTATATAGATTTATACATGATAGTAACATAATGAATGAAATTTAATAATAAACGAGAAAAAAAATACGAGTTGACCTTGTCAACTCTGTGATACCCGTACGAATTTGTTATCCTATGTGCGAATAACTAATGTGCCATAACTAACTATGGGGCAGACTATGACTTTAAGTTGCCGTATTACCATATTAATTTATGCAAAATTTCAGTACTATATGTGTTTTTCAAAATACTGGCTGTGCCAAACTACCATTGAAGTTGTATGGCAGCTACCAGAAAGAGCCAAGAAATATTAGCGAATTTTATCAAGCACATCGGCCCTACTAATATATTCACTTGTGTGAAATCTCAATATCACAGCTTTTATATTTTCTGAGATATAGCCAAATAACTTTTGAAGTTGTATGGCAGGTGCCAGAAGGAGCCCAGTAATTTCAACGACTTTTATGTGACACATTGGCCCTACTAATATATTCGTTTGTGTGAAATTTCAATACCACAACTTTTATAGTTTCTGAGATATAACCAAATAAATTTTGAAGTTGTATGGCAGCTACCCGAACCGGTACCCTGATCACGCCCAATTTAAATAGGGTTCTGGCACTTACTACAATAAATTATTTGTGAAAATTTGGTGAACTTAGCTCAATTAGTTTTTGAGTTATCGTTCGGACGGACGGACGGACAGACAAAGCTAAATCAACTCAGAATTTGACGCTGATCAAAAACATACACTTAAGTCTATATCCAACACCGTTATTTCTTAGCGTTACAAACGGTAAGGCAAATTTAGTATACCCTTCGAACATACGTTCGTACGGGTATAAAAATATAGTTTTAAATAGTAATCACATATGATTCTTTTTACTATTATAAAAAAGAGAGGTGCCATAACAGATTTATAGTCAACATAAATAATTAGGCATATTATGTTTTGCCATTCTCAATTGCAGAAAAAATATAATGCATTTTCAAAGTTATTTAAATTCGATTTTAATTTTATTTTATGACGATATTCAAAGCTATTTGATATAAAGGATTCTTCCAAATAATAATAATTTTGTTTTAATATAATTAATATATTTTAAAAAATTTAATATAAAATTATAACTTACCTCTTCATAATACTTCAAAATATCTTTCATAATGCTTACAATTGATTCAAAGTCCGACGATACCAGAATTGTACTGTAAGTATTTTGTTGGTTTTTTGTTTTTTTAATTTATATAATTTAAAAAATATATTAAATAAAATTTATTAAGTAATTTTAATTAAAAAATTAACTTATTTTACTTAAAAAATATTATCAATATTTCAAAAGAATTAATAAATAAGATTAAGAAAAACATTTATCATATGTTTTTAAAATGCAATTTAGAAAATTTCAGTTTGAAAAATTTTTTTAAAATCTTTTTAGAATTTTAAAATTATTATTAATAATTTTTCTTTCTTTTTATTTATTAATTCCTTTGTCGCTGTTTAATTATTAAATATTATGTTGGTTAAGAAACATTAAAAATTATTTTACTTAATTTTTTCTTTACTTATATGATTAATTATTTGAAATTACGAATTTTAATTAAAAAAAAAAAAAAAAATTTTTTTTTTTTTGTTTTCTATTATTCCTCTCAATAATTAGTATGTATACTCTTAAAAATTCCAAATTTCTATAACAACATTACAGTCTGGTTATAAGATACCATTAAAATAATATTTAAATAAACATATACAATAAAAAAAAATAATAATAAATGTATTATTGTAAAATTTGTCACCGATCATTTTAGAAATTTCATAATATTTAAATAAAATTTTAGTATGACATTGAAAATTTTTTTTACTATAATTACGAAAAATTTAAGTAAAAGATTGTGTTTCAGAAAAACACGAAATTGATGACTTGATTAAAGATCTAATTATTTAATAATTACTAATTCATTCATATTTTAATTATTAATGAATGCCATAAAAATGACATTATGGCTTTACTGGACATGAATAATTGTCATCCATTTTGAATATATTTCAAAAATTAATAAATTTTGATTGAAAATCTTAAAATTTTTAACTAAAACTGTTAAATAATTAAAAAATTTATTTTCAATACAAAATTATTTTGTAATTAACATACTTAAATTTAAATAAGATTCATAATTCAATAATATAATTGGACGAAAAACGTTTCAAGAATGCAAAAAAAAAAAATTAATTTTTTGGCAATAATCCAATAAAAAATTCATTAAACAAAGACAAAAGAAAAGGACAACAATTTATAGAAATAATTGTGAATTTCAAACAAAAAAAAAATTTATAATGTATTGTCAATGTCATAAATTTTATTTAAATAGAATTTTTAATATGTACGTACAAATGTATATTACACTTTGAGAGCAAGCATCAGAAATATACTTTTAATTTCATTTTCACATATTATTCATCTATTTGCATAGCATTTAAATTACATTTAACAAAAATTTAAATAATTATATATAATAATGATAATAATAAATATAAATATATATATAATATATATTTTAGTAGTTAATTAGCAATATTGTTAAAAAAAAATTAATTAATTTAATTTAGCGTAAAATTTATATATATTTTTTTAATTTTTTTATTGTGTTTAGAAAAAGCCTCTAAATATTTTCTTTTTATTTTTATTTGTTATACACATATAGGATGATAGCTAGTTTTGGTATTATATGAAATATTTAATATTAATTCGGAAATAACTAAAATTAAAAGGTGACATTTTATTTAATTAAAAAAAAAATTAATAAAATTAATTAAATTTAGTGAAACTGTTGACCTTTGGATTAATAATATAAGAATTTGTTGTTATTATTTTTATATATTTATAAATTAACTCCATTTTATTTATATTTCAATTATTTCTTTTTTTGTTTTGGTTCAATTAATTATTATTGAATAAGTCAAAAATAATTAAGAATAATATAAATAATTAATTTTTTTCCCCAATTATATTTGTGACCAAATAAAATATCTATATATTATATGCAATTAAAAAAAATACGAGAATGACTTAATTTTCAATTAATGTAGATTAATCTCAATCAAAGAAAATAACAAAGAATTGGCATGTAAATTAGAAGAGATAAAAGTTTTCATAATAATGATATATTCTCAAAAAAAAAAAAAAAACTAAGGAAATACTCAAATTAATATTATGAATAAATTTTATGAAAGAATATCATTTCTCTTAGCATAAGAATATATGAAACACCAACAAGACGAAATTTTTGTGTAGTGTGATAACAAAAAAAAATAAAAAAGAATTTGTTAAAATTAAATGTTGCTCATTATTAAACTACAAAAATTTAAAATGAAATTTTTATTTAAGATTTATGGGTTTTCTCGAAAGAAGTAAAAAAATTAGAAAATTAGAAGTTTCTCTGTCCGAAATCGACGTTAATCAGCAATAATGTTAAAAACATTAAAAAAAAAATATTCTCTTTTATTTCTCTCTTTTTATTAGTGTATTTTGATTAGTGTATTTTGAAATTATTACTGTTGTAACACTGTTCATTGTATTGTCTCGTATTGTAATAATAAATGAGAGAGAAAATAATTTTTTATTTATTATTATAAGAGAAAATAATTTTAAATAATTATTTAAAATGATAAAAGAAGAGAAAAATTATGTCAAGATTTTAAGAATTAAGATTGGCAACAAAATTTATTTTAAAATGAGAGCATTTTTTTTTTAATGTTGATTATTAGGCTGGCCAGCATTTCTAATTTTTCAAAAAAGATAAGAAACTAAAATTCTTTTATTTTTTAGTTCTAAAATTTATTTATTTTTTAATTCTTTTATTATTAAATAAGATTTAAAAATTATTGTAGTTAAATTAATGAGCAATGTAAATAAATAATAATTTGAATTTTTTATGTGAATGAATGAAATTTTTAAACTGTCTACGTTATATTAAGAGAATATCAGAAATTGTTTTTGCTACTAGGTTGAGTTTTTTAATATAATTATTATTATGTCCCCTAAAAGGATTCATAAAAAAAAAAATAGAATAAAGAATTCAAATTGATTTTGTTGACATTATAAACATTTAGATTTTTAATTTTGGTCAGATTATATACTAGTATTTTTATACTAAATATATAAATAATATTTATTCTAAAATTATACGATATAATACGATAGCAATGAAGTTAATAAAATAAAACGAACATAAAATTATTTAAATTGTATTTTTTTTTTTTTTCTTTAAGAGGTCCTACCATATAATAACACACAAAAAAAAAAAAAAAAAACAAAATAAAAAAAATTAATTTAAATTATAATTAAAATTTAATTCCTTTCGGTTTTTTATATTCATTTTTTTTTTAAACACAATAGTAATAAAAAAAAAAAATTATTTTAAAACTTAAAAATAAAAAATTATCTTAAAAAATTTAATAAAAAGATTTTTGTGTTTACCGTTCAGGGCCTTGGCAATCGTCGACAGATACGAAACATTTATACTGCAGATTTGGTTAATAATATTTTTATTTTTTGAATTAGGTATTATGTAATTGGTATTTACAGTTGGTGGTGGTGGTTGGTTGTTTGGTTGGTTGATTTATTTTGGTTGTTGATTGTTTCGATTTACAATGATTCAATTTTTTTTTATTTAATAACATAATTAAAGTTGATGATTTATTAGTTATAAAATTTCGATCAAATTCGAATATTTGGTAGAAAAAAAAAATAAAAGTCAAGATTTTAAAGAGACAAAGGACAAAACATAGATATTTTTTCCAATTATTTTTTTTTTGTTTTTTTTTTTTGCAAGTTTAACATTTAAGTTATTATTCAATAATCACATAAGTTATCAAAACGTTTGTAAAATATTTTAAAATTTTGAAAATGATTTAGAAAAAAAAAAAAAAAACAAATTGAAAAATATAAAAATGTGAATTAATTAATATTTTTTTTAAATGGTTTAATTGTTTTTTTTATATTCGGTAAGAAGAATTATTTAAATGAATTTATTTTAATAAAATGGTAAAATTTATTTAATTATTTAATATATATGTAAAATGCAAAATGAAATTAAAATGGATGGAATTTACAGAGTCCAGATTAATAAAATTCAAATTTTTTTTTTTTGTAAATTATTTGTAAAACAAATTTAAATGTTATTTTAATTTAAAAAAAAAAAAAAAAATTAAATTATTGCGTTTTAATATTTCAAAAAATATTCACAATAATTAGTTGATTTCGTTTATTTTTTTTTGTTTTTGTAAGTAATTAATATGCAAATTCATTGATATACAAAATATATTTTGTAATGATATTACGTTTTAAAAATCCCAGGATATCACAGGTGGTTCGTTGATTTTTCGAATTTTAGTTTATATTTTGGTTACAAGTTGATTCAAGTTTTCATTTTTCACATGACACAATACAATATATATATTTTATAATATGTATATATATAAAAATATATATGATTTGGTGGTGATTTATTTTTTATGTTTTTTGGTCGGTGATTGGTTTATTATATCCGATGATTTCAGTTCACGATTTATAAAAAAGTTTTTTTTTTTTTTTATACATTTTGTGTATATTTTTTTCACAAGAGGCAGGCAATCAGATTAACAGTCAGGCAGGCAGGCAGGCAGGCAATCAGGCAATCATGGCGAGCAGGCAAGTTGGTGATTCATATTCATTCATGGCACAGGCGTAGTTGAAGTATTCAAAAAAATCACATATTATATTTGACATAACAGTCATGGTGTAAGACCAGGATCAGGCACAAGTTTTTTATTTATTTTTATTTTTTTGAATACCAAAATTAACAAAATTTCATATGCGGACGGTGTCATTCGGTTTTTTTTTTCGTTTTTTAATATTTTTGGTTTTCAAGTTTATATATTTATTTTATTTTTTATTGGACATATATGTGAAAAAAAGATTGGGCGGGAGAGAAAAAAGAATAACTATTTTAGTTAAAATTGCATTTAAAGTTTTTTTTTTTGTATATATAATAAAAATAGATTGTAGTTTAATTTTTTTTTTGTTTGGCTTATAATATTATAAAAATAATATTGCATTTTTAAACCTAAATTAAATATATGTATATATATTTTTTTATTTTAACTAAATTATTTTTTATTATTTATAACTGGTAAGTATTTAGAAAAAAAAAACGATATATATATATATAAATATATATAAAAATTTAAATAGGCACACAATGACTTAAAATTTTAATTTTAGTGAGTAAGAATTGGTAGAAAAATAAATATAGTAAAATAGAAAAAGTTTTGTATAGTTTTTTGTTTAAATATACAATTTACAAGATTTAGGGAAATAGATGCAATTTATTTTTAGTTTAGCTAAAAAAAAAAAAACATTTCAAAATCTTTATTGTGATGTTAAATTAGCATCAATTATCAGTTAAAAATTTTAGGTAGTTTAATATTTTTTTTTATTTTATTAATATTTTGTTATAAATTAATAGAAGCGGTAGCATTTTTTTTTGTATTTTTTTATACATATATATTTTTCTCTTTGTATATATATATATAACATGTGTATGTAGAAAAAAAAATGATTTAAACTTTTTGTTTCATTAGAGAAATTTAGGAAAAACAAACCAATCAAATTTGATATTGCATCACTTTAAACTAATAATTTTAAAATTAAAAATTACTACTAATATTATATATATATAAAAAAGATCAAAATTAAAATAAAAAAAAAAATTTAATAAAATAAAAAATTGATTCTCTATTATGACAAAAAAAAAATTTCATCGTTTTACTATTAAATAAAATTTTATTTATATTCTATGACTTTAAAAAAAAAATAATTTCTCTTTTCTTTTTATAAAGAAACAAATTTAACTTACCGTAGTTCTCAATTTTTGAATATGTTGGCCACCTTTACCAATAATAGCACCAGCAATCTAAATTTTTTTAAGAGAGAAAGAAAAAGAGAAAAACATATGTGACATTAATATAAAGTTTTTTAAATTTCTTAAAAAAAGGGAAATATATTTTAAGAAAATAATACGACAAAAAAAAAGAGAATTGTTTGTCATGTTTTGGTGATATTTTAAATTTTTTCTGTAATATTATCATTGTTATCAATATTATAAAATTTACATTATTATCAAATATTTAATTATTTATAATTAATATTTAAAATGCAATATTTACATTATTACATTTACACTAAACAATATATTAAATAAAATTTCCAAGAGATGTGAATTTAATAAGGTCGCAAATAATTAAGAGTTGAGAGAAAAATAATAAATCCCTACTGTTCTACTAGTACTCGTAAAAATAATAATTATTAATGTTTTGTTGGATATGACAGTAACATAAACTTTACAGTATTTTCGTAAATGGATTCGTAAATGTTTCATAATTACCTTTGTGAATATATAGTGCGTATATAGTATTTGTTAAAGTGTTATTTAAATTAATTTCATTTTAAAAAGGGAAATTAAATTCAAGAGTAATACAATGTGTAAATTATAATTTCTTTGTATTTTCGAAGTCACTATAATTTATTACATACGGTATGACGTATGAATTATAACTTATGTAATTATTCATACATATGAAAAAGAAACAACAAGCTTCAGCAGTATTATACGCTGAAGCTTGTTATAATTATCAATTAATTTTAAAAATAAAGAATTGGAATAAATATTAAAAGTTTTATTGTACTAGTATTTTTTTTTATTAACGAATAAACATTATTCGCCTATAAAACTTAAACAAGGTAATTATTTCTTACATAAAATTATAAAACAGTGTGTATATCTACATATGGATACATATTATATCATGAATATATTAATAAGAAAAATATTATATAAAATATATTTATTAATTAGATATATTATTGTTATTCATCTATGATTAATCAATTAAATAATTCCATCTGATTGATTATATAATTTGATTATAAAATTAACATATGAACAAACATGATAATATATATGAGTCTAGAATATAATATCTATAACAAATAGGAAATTAGAATTTCAAAATTATAAATAAATAATTAAGTTATATATTTTATAAGTTGTTTTATAATGTAGAATAAAAAATAAAAAGCAATTTGATATATACATATTCTCTAAATATCTGCAGTATAGATATTATAAGTGATAGCATGATAAGAGAAAATACTGCTTTTGATTCATGACAAATACTTGCAACTGACGTTAGTCATAAATTCTAATGCGCAATAAAGCAAGTGACATAAATTCCAATAAACGATGCAAGTGCAATTTATGGTCATTTTAGGTTTTTTTTGCAGATAATTGTATGATTACATAATGCTTACAAAATCAAGCCGTTAATGTATCTGACTATAGATTGTCAAATTTTTGACATACTGGAAAGCTGATATACATACATATATGTATTTAAAAAATTGAATAAGGGATATGGTCTAAAAAAAATTTTATAATTATTCAAAAATTTGAGAAGTCTTCGTTTTTTTAAGGAGTGTAATTTACCATCAATCAACTTGCAACTAAAATAACTTTAATCTTAATCTTTTATGAATATTGTAATTGAATATTGTAAATTACCCCATTTTTCTTCTAAGTGTGATAAGAACATCAATAAATATTTTCTTTTTAAATTTCATGATATATTTGACAAATTTTCTAAGAATATTCATTCAAGTATATTAAAAATTTTATCGTCATTGCTTAGATACATATATTTTAAACTTAAAAATCAAAAATAATTTTCTCTTTAACATTTTCAAAATACAATTTAAATTGATATACAAATATTGATGTACGTAAGTGATATGAAAATATCACATATATGATTTTAAGAATGAGAATAATATTAAGACTAAAATTTTAAATCAGAAAATTATTTACGGAATTCTAGAAAATTTAATACATATTAAATTATTAAAAAATTTTCTAAGGAATATGTATTTCGATTTTGAATTGAATATATATTTCGACAATTTTCAAAATTTTTTTGCAGCTACATAATGACTGTCACTTTATTTTATCTTAATATTTGACCATATTTCATGATTATACCATTGTTTATCAACAAACATAATTATTATTATCATACTAGTTTCTTTTTTTTGTTCATATTAAATCAAGTTTTTTTTTGTTAATTTTCTTATACCGTAAAGCACGAGGTGTTTTCTTTAATTAATTACTTATATAATCATAACAATTAATATTCAAATTTATAAAAATTTTTTATAAAAAAAAAAACTTACACGGCTCGGAATCAATAAACGCAATTGTTCATCATTATTTCGGCGAGCTCTTTTATTATTGTTATTTGAGTTGCTGCCACCACCATTACCGCTGTCACTACCATCTTGGCTATCTTCATTTTGATTATTTTCACGTTTCATCTTGTTAGATCTAGAAATTAAAGAGAAAAAAAATAATTTATTATTTATTCTTTATAAAAATTTATTATTAAAAAATATTTTTAAAAATAAATACGAGTTTGTGTTTACGATCAAAAGAAGAAATTCAATAAATAACCTTTAAAGTTATGCAACAAAAATATTGTTTTTTTTTTGTATAAAATATATAATTAAAAAAATTTTTTTAATAACTGTGAAACACCTTACATAACAAAATCTTCTTAGATACTAAAAACAAAAAAACAATAAAAATTTCATGAAGAGATAAAAAAACGAACTTACAAAAATAAAACAAAAACAAGAACAAAAATAAAGTTTAACTTCTCAAAATCTCAACTTAATCTCTTCTCTATTTAAAATCTAATTTTTTTTTTTATTTTTATTTTGTAGTTGTAATACTTTGCAGTGAAAAAAGCAAATATGTAGTTAATAATCGTATTGAACACACAATGTATTTTAAAATAAAAATAAATGGTATAACAATTTTAATTATACATATATTTTATAATTTTTTAAATTAGTAGTGTATGTGGACGAGAAATCCAACCAAATAGAAGAAGTTTTGGTGAAATTTATATTTCTGTGTTTTGGATATTAATCACGGCTGAAGAAATACAGGCATTGACTCTAAGAGAGAAAGACATTTCACAGATAACGAATTTACATGTTTTTCAAGAAAGCTATAGAAAAATTTGAAATTCAAGCTTTGTCCATTTTACTAGTGCAGTTTTAACAATATACATTTACAAAAAAAGATGGATCCAGGCCTTGATAATTTTGTAATGTCAAGATGTTAGTTATATATGGTAACAAAAAAATAAATTAACCTATTTATTTCAACTCAATTTGCTATTAATTTAACATTTCTTTAAATTAATTTTCTTTTAATTTTTATTTAAATTCATAAATAGTTAATTGTATTTTTCCAAATTGTAGAATTTGCTCTATTCCATAGTTATTTTTTATAGTTAGAATTGTTCGAATTATGGAAGCTCCACTGTATTTTTTTGAAAATAAAAATAGGAAATTCTGTATTAAATCTGTATTTAATAACTATTGTACAAATAGAATAATATCTCATGGTTAAGCTGGACAATTTTTTAATATCTCTGTTTACAGTTTTTTTTAATATAAGTAATAAACATAAATATGTAAATATGTATGTAAATATGTGAATATAGTATTCTAAAATTAAGTTTTTCTCTTATATTGTAAGTTAATATAAACACAGGTTTGTATAATAAAAAAAAAAACAAAAATTTAATGTATAAATAATTTTTATACAAAATATGAAAAGAAAAATTAAAACAAAATCAAAATTATAAACTGTAAACTTGTTATACTAGCTTATTTTTTTATCTATATAACTGAAAACTTAAAGAGAGAATAAATGGGAATTAAAAAAAGAAAAATAAGAAAATGGCAAAAAAAAAAAAAAATGCGCGCGGCATTACCCGATGTCATTTCAACCGGCGTAAAAAAAATTCACAAGATCAAATTTTCTTGTTTTTTTTTTTCAAATTCATAAATAGAAACTTGAGTCAAATACATAACTATGCCTACATAATGAACTTATACTACTATATAAAGTGTATTCGTATAGACATACAAGTATGTATGTTATATTTTATATATAAAAGATCACGATTCAGTGATTTTGAAACTTTCTTTTTTTATTTTTAAATATGAATGAAATTTCATTTTACAGTGATTTTTAAAATATATTATATTAAACTTGTTTATTGAGTACAAGTAAAATAAAAAAGAGGAGATGTTCAGAGAATTATTATTATCTTTTTATGTTTTGTTTTTTATAATTATGTACCTGGCCTACCATCAACCTGTTATGTAGGAGAATATTAATAGAATATTACATCATAAAATTTATAAATATTTTATGATTATATTAATTAAGTAATTAATATTTTATTGCAACTTTATGAAAATTTGAATAGTATTATATGCAACTTCTCATTAATGTAATAATTTTAATAATTGAAATTGAAATTTATTCATAGGTAGATAAATTTGTACACGAATAGCCATAAATTTATTATCGTAAACAAGAATTTTTAATTAGAACACGTTAAGGGTTGGTACTATAATATAAGTGATTATAAGTACAATACTATCATCACTCATTACACCAATAAAAAAATAATTTATAAGTCACTAATCATTGTTATTTTAATATATCTTGACTTACAAAATGCAGTAACACCGTATTAATACACAAGTCAACAATAATTTACAATTATAAGCTGAATTGTGTGGTAATACTGCATTTTCGAAGTTAGAATACTCGGTAAGTAAAGAAAGCAAATGAGCAAAAGAATTAGACCTTAATAATTAACTTATGCCTATTTTAATAATTTTCTTTCTTGAAAAGACATGCTTATGCTTAAACAACTTAAGCTTTCAGAAACATTCAAAATTTTAGCAAAAATAAATATTTATATAATAAGAAAAAGTTTTCTGAAAACAAATTTTATAAGCCTTATCTAATTATAATTTAAATTAACTTTTTACTTTTGAAATCTTATTTACGATAATACTTATATTATATACATTTTATCTATGTATGTGTACATTTCGTTTATTTAATTTTGAAATTTTAAACACAATAATTTTTTCTTTTGTTATTTATTCATTTAAAATTTCTAATCTTCGCAAATAAATTTGCATTATAAAAGAAATTTTAAAATACAAAGTTTATATCTAAAATAAAAATTTTAATTTGAGTATAATAGACTAACAGATTTCTTTATTTATATGGAAAAACAATACTGAAAAAATTTCTAATAAAAAAATTAATAAAATCCATTAGGCTAATTGAAATATTTGTTAATTCTAAATTTGAAAACAAAAAATAATTTGTTTAAGCTACAAAATATTGAAAATTTTTATTTGGAACACGGAATAATTTCGTTTTCAATATAATTTCGTTGATCTTGATCTTTTAGGTAAATTATGAAAAATATTTAATTGTTTTGTTTGAATTTTCAGTTTTAATATCCCTACCTTGCTCTATTTGAAAAATTTCTTTTAAAATTAGAAAATTCAAAAATTTTAAGAAAAATTTGATACATTTATACTCGTATGTATTATACTTCTCAATTTATGTATATATTTCCGAGGAAATTCAATTAAATTTTACAAATTTCCATTACCCGGCACAAAATTTACTTTTTTAGACAGTAATTTTACTGTGATATCACAATAAATTTGTTAAAATTTCCTTTAAGGAAATAATAATTCAAAATCACTGCTATAAAAATTAGAATTTAAGAAAACAAAGAGAGAAAAAAATAAAGGCAGAGTTAAGTGGGTTTTTTTTGAATAGGTGGTGAATATCTATGTATAAACAGGAATGTGGTGTGTTATGTTATGTACTTTTTTATTTTTTCTGTTCGATGAGAATTATTAATATTAATATTGAATATTTTTTTTTGATTCGTATACAAATTTTATATATGGAAAAAATAAAAAAACCAAGTAAAAAAAAAAAAGGAAATAAAAATTTTAATGTAAATTTAATAAAAAATCTTTACAAACAAAAAGAAAAGAAAAATAATGTCATAATAACACAGAAACCTACTAAAGAAATTGTGGTTTCTTAATATGTATCTCTGTAGCTGTACCCTAGCTGCGTATAATGTCTGTTATATGTAGGTGGTTAGTTTTATTATTTTTAAATATTTCTACTTTTTTTTTCTTTTATTAATAATTTATTGTAATAATAAAAAACAAAACAAAGAAAAAAATTCAAATTGGCAAAAACTAAAAAAAAAATTTATAAAGCTTGAGAACAAAAAAATGTATGCCGCGCGACATTTTTAACAAATTATAACAATAATAACATTAAACGAAATGAAATACGCATAAGTAGCACGTGTCTTGGTTAGGCGTTCATATAAATTAAATAAATTTAAACTTGAAATAATGAATTTCTTTTTTGTTTTCTGACTTAAATTGCTTATTGAAATGAGCAAAAAACAATTATTTTTCTAATTTATTTAAAATGTTTCTCAACACTTATTTTTTTTTTTAAGTTATGTAAAATTTAAATTTGATTTGCATTAATTATAACAATTTAAATTAATTTTTTTTGTTTTCCTATTTTGTATAATATCTATGTATATGCGTGTATATATGTATGTAAGTATATTAACAAATTATTTCAATTTAAATTATTGTTATTATTTATAATATTGCAATTTCGGTATTTTCAAAGCAAAAAAAAAACAAGCAAAACATTAAAAAAATTAACAATAAGAGACGAGGGAACCTTGATAGTTTTTCTATTCAAATCAATTTGAAAGAAAAAAACATTTTGATTTTTCATGAATTTAATTTTGCTTTGAATATATTAAGAATGTAGGTATTAATATTGTTGCTTGATTTAGCAAGATGAAGCAAGCAATCAATTAATGAATGATCCTACACAAATATAATGTACCCTACACCTCATAACAAGTAAAATAATTAAAATTTATAAAATTATAAAACTATGTATTGTATTTATAATGACGATGAAAATGATTAAGATATAATAATAAATGAAGAAATCATTAAATTTTTAATTCGTTTATAACTTATTTTGAATTCTTAGGGGAATATAAAAAAAAATTAAAATTTGTTGCAGATTGTCGAAAAATATTACTTATTTTCGAAATATATAACAAATTTTCGAAAATTATTACAAATTCTAGGTAAATATTAAAAATTTACAAAAAAAAAATAGGTATTAAGAGATTTTTGAAAAACATTATAAAATTTCGAAAATTATTTCGAATTTTTCAAAATATACAAAATTAATGATTTTTTTACAAACTTCGAAATTTTAAGAAATTTTATTTGATTAGTATATTTCAAATCTCAAAAAATATTAAAATTAATATTTAATTCCGGTTAAGTCTTTTCAAAATTTCGAAAATTAAAAAAGGACTTCAGAAATCATATTTGCTATATGTGTGTTCTACTGTATCCATT